CTAGCAAAAAGGACCTTCGGGAAAAAAAGGGGTTTTTGAGAAATCAATTGATTTTTGTTTTTCTCCCCATTTTTTTGTCAAAACAATCCCTGATTTTTGACTCTAAAAATAAATTACTAACCCCTTTTTTGTCCCACAAAAAAATTTTTTTTATTTACAAAACATAGTGGAAGTTTGTTTTGATTGGCCAAATATTTTTTGATCTACATGTCCATAAAAATTGGTGTTACTATATATTAATATTAGAATTTAACAGATACATGCATCTAAAATTCGTTATACTAATCCCATCTCAACAAATTTTTTATTAATACAGTATTATCCTTATTTCAATGGAGTGGCTGGACATATAAGAAAATTTCATTTAAAATCCATTGATATGAAATTACCAATCGTGTTTCAACAGTGTTTCCATAATGTGTTACAAAGATTTTTAAAATCCATTGAAACGTGAATTTAATTATAATCCATTGAAAAGCGAATTTGTTGAAGTGAGGTTTAACAGTTATTTATATCAGTTTGTAGCTTAGGTTTTGATGAATAGATGTATAAAAATCATACTTCTACACATCTAGATGTTTAGTGATTATATTAAATTTTCATTTTTAAATTGTTTTAATATGATTACCATAATAATAATAAATTTTAGTCAGGATTCATTTTTTTTGTATCTAGTAAATTTATATTTAATTAACTTGAATTTACACATCATTAAATAAAACATTATGCCCCCAAAAAAACATTGGCCCATGTTCTATTCATGACTGCAAAATAATACCCAATCAATATCATGGGATTACACCCAATGCATTAAAGAAAGCAAAAGAAAAAGGTACCTTTAACCAATATAATTATTTGGAAGTTGGAAAGCAATTGTGTTATCCTCATTATCTTAAGATCATAGAGCTTGACCACAATGGTATAAATTGTAATAGCTTAATTGAAATTAAAAATAATGAAGATATACAAGGTAATAATATGATACCTTTATAATTTCATGAATTGTCAAGTATTTAAACATCTTAAATTTGCTAGAGTTATAATATAACTTTCAAAAAAACAATTTGCAGTTGCTACAAAAATTCTATCTTTTAGTGAGAAAATTGCTCTAATGACTAAAGTTCTTTATACAAAACAAAGAAAAGAAAATGAAATACTTGAGTTAGATCCAATTAATTTCCAAACAATGCTTGAAGAAGCTGAGCCATTATTGAAAGGATTCTTTGAGAAACTATGCAATGCATTCATTCCAGAAAGATGGTCTGCATACAACAAAAAAGAAGATAGAAAGAAAGTAGTTAATGTATGTCATTCAATAGCAGCAATACATAACAAGTTTGTGAACAATTATCCTTTGGAAATTGGACTGTATCTTTCAGCCTGAGGTGTCTCATGTGATGCAATTAACACAATGCACAATGCTGGTATTTCTGTTTGCTACAAGACTGTTGACAACTATAAAAAAAAAATAGCTAATGTGCACCCAGAAAATATTTGTAAATATTTTACTAAAAATGTATGTTTAATCATTTGATAAATTTTAATTAATTAATTAATAGATATGACTAACATTTTTTTTGTAATAGAATAACAGCTTTTATGTGTACAATCTTGATGACTACCATAACATACATGAAAAAAGATGCCCAGACACTGTGTTTCTTTCAACTGCGGCCCATTTTGCAACATGTATCAGCAAAGAAGTCTCTAAATGTGCTCCAATTCCAATAGACCACAATGGTATCTCAGTTCATAATCCTGCCAATATAGATGCATCATTGATTTGCTTCTGTTTAATTACACAGTATCATGGAATTTTTGACCTTTCATATACACAAAGAAAGATTGTTTCACAAAGAATGGAACAAATTAATTTTGATCAGATTAAGGTTGTGGGTGAAACCTCTTAATGACTGTTGAAACTCTGTTGAAACTCTAATGAACAATTAATGTGTAACCTGTCGAAACCCTGATGATTGGCGAAAACCCCAAATGCGAAACTCTGCCGAAACTCTAATAAACAATTAATGTGTAACCTGTCGAAACTCTGTCGATTAATTTCTGGAGGAGTTTCTCCCGCAACCTTAGATCAGATTGACCTTTTAACTATTCATTGTTATAATGATGCTATTAAAGAACAAAAAGAAGAAAGAAGCATGGTTAATTGGAATAAGAGAGAGTAGTCTTCATTCAATGAATGATTACCTGAATGCATTAGAAATGATCCTTTCAATAAATAGGGACATTGGATGCATAGATGATTATGTGATGCCAGTTGTTGCAGATTGGCCTGGTCAACTTTTTTTACGAAAGGCATTAACACACTTGCATCAACAGAATCCAAGATCTACAATACCATCAGCTGTTAATGCTTTTGTACCTATCTTAGGTCCACTTCATGTTTCATTAAACAGCCAGGAGCAAGTTATGATAATTTATTATTCCTTTTTCAAAAAGCTTTTTCATGCTGTCTTTGGAAAACATAAGATTCTTGCAAAAAAACCAAAACCATGGAGAATAAATGTTTTGCTTGAACTTGCCTACCAAGGATGGTTAAAAATCAAAGTAAAGATAATGGACAAGTTTGGACCTACATGTAAAGATATGGAATATAGAATGTTAGTTGATCTTCTTGACAATGTAATCCCTGCAACTTTGGATATATATGCAGCCCTCTTTTGTTCTGGTTCCTTTGATGAATACATTGAAACCATTTTTTGAATATGGACTTTTGCATTGCGCTGGAACTGTAAAAATTATAACAAGGCTCCCTTGGCATTCTTGTCTGATGTCTTCTATTGAGAAGATAATAAACATCCAATGGCAGATGTAATCAAAATGTTTCTTGTAAACTTCAATGATTATTTTGTTGAAAATTTACACAGCCAGATACAAGCAAATACATCACCTAATGACAGTGTTGAAACCATTATTAAACAAGCCTATGTTCTAGGTAAGTTGAAAGATAAAATAAATAAAGATGTAAATAGAATAATAGATGACCTTACTAACTAGTGTGACCACAACAATTAAAAAATAGATATAAATAAACAATCTTCATTTAAAGAAACATTTTACATGAAAAAAGGATACCCTTACACACCCTCTGTCCTAGAGCACTTGATTAATAAAACTGCATTGTTTTTGCTAGATTATTTTCACCAAGTTTTCTGAAATATCAATACTGCCACTAGTGCAACAAATAATAAGAGCAAAAAACAAGGAAAAAAGAAAAAGAAAAATATAAAATACAAACTTATTGTTTTGAATGAAGAGGTTGAAGTAACATGCTTACCAACAGGTTACAGTACAGGATCCCCCCCCCCCCTCACCAGGTCTTTGTGATGATTGCCATAAGAATTTAGACGAAAGTGGTAGTGGCACTGTATTGATTTGTGGTCATGGTTTTCATTGGCATTGCTATGGTAAAATGGAATATGCATGTTGACATTGTGAAGAGTACTATAAAAATGGAATAAACAAAAATGTTAGTTCATTTTTGCATAGGCTTGAAAAAGGTGCCGACACATTTAGTGATGATGATGGAATTGAAGAAGTAGAAGAATCTCAAGAAGATTCAGAAGATAATATAGAAATAGAAGAACATTCACAAGAAAAACATGAAGTTGTATCTAATTTACAAAATGCATTAGATGATATAGATAAATGGTGACAAATTAATAATATAAATTTAAAATTTAAATACTTCTTATTTGTCAATTTATCCTTGGGA